CCCCTTCCCAAATGTCCCTTTAGAAAGTGGACACTTCAAGGTATTTGGTGTCATATGTGGCTAGGCTCCCAAAAAGTCTTACATGTGGTATCCTCCTACACTGGAGAAGTAGCAGAATGTTTTTTGGGGTGTTGCGCCACATATACCCATGTGGGGAGGGGGGGTTGCGTGTGAGAGAGAGAGATATCTCAGTAAAGTGACAACTTTGCAAAAAAAAAACCAAAAAACCTGAATTCTCTTTCATTCATCGACGGCCACAGCTCTTTCTCATTCTTGACCGTAGGGTTATAGCTCCAACTGCAGTAGGAACCTAGGCAGGAGAAAAAAAAAAAAAAAAAGAACAGCACCACCTATGTACAGTCCTATATGGAAATCAAGCCTCTTTCTGCTATATGCAACTCAATTATTATTATTTTTTTATTGTTTTCTGGCCCATAAGGAGTAAGGATCTAGATATCTGCTGGGACCTGTGGTTCTATAGCTTTTTTTTACCTTTCTTCTCTTTCCTGTATTTTTTTCCTGTGAAGATCATCAATCAACAGCAGAGCTGGGCAATCTAGATTCAGTGGTCACCCCAGTCTGGACAATAAGCAGGTGCAGGCCTTTAGCTAAGCGCTGGGTTGGCCATGACCAGGCCCATTCTGGACAGGGGCGTCCAGCGAGTTAAACATCTTGTGGGGACACATATGCCTAGGCACCAGTCTGTGTCAGTGTTACACTGGATGACAGCCAACCACTTCAGTGGAAAGGAGGATCAGTCTCAGGAGTGTTACCTGCTACCTTGGCTGGACCAGTAAGTAGATGCCCCCCTTCCCTCGAGCAGTGGCTGACTGTGGGTACTCCCTGGCGTGGTTGACCCTGCGGGGGCTTCACCCTCTGTGATATGGTTGTGTCTAGGCCCTTCCTGGACACACATGCCCTCCTGTGGATCAGGTGAACTTCAATATTTGTGTCTCCCCCTGGGTGGTAGTGGGTTTGGGGCAGGTTGCTCTATATTGGGACCCCTCCTCCCCTTTGCCAGTTGCTGCTTCCCCGTTAGTACTGTGGAGGGCCTGGCTGGCATGATCATGTAGTTGCTCTCCCTCTGGGTTCCTATTGGCCATGTGGTGCCTGGCAGCCACTACGTGGGTGGTGGCAGCCATTTTGCTGGGTGGTTGGCTCTTACCTAGGTAGGCCTTTCCCTTCCTGGGCTGTATGTTGACCCTAGGGCTGGGGGAGTCTATGGTTTGTTTGCCAGGCTCACCCAATTGGGGATTCCACTTTTCAGGATTCTGCAGGTAACACTGTCTTCTCCTGATTTCTTAAGTCCAGGTGACCCACAACTTTGCCCCCCATTCCAGGAAGGCATGCCTAAGCTACCCACTGCAGGGTGAGGGGACATTGTCGTGGCAGGCAGTTCCATGGGTCTCTTCTTATCCGCTGTCAACTGCCTTCCTTCCTGTCTTCACCCCTCCCCTTTTCCTCTCTGCGGTCCTTCATGCGATACTGCGGTATCTGCCTCTCTAGGGCATTATAATCCTGGCTCTACACCTGGAATGGGGGAATGCACCCAGTTGTGTCCTGTCAAAGCTATTACGTTCACATGTGGGTGTGGCCTTGTCTGTTGGTTACTCTCTTGGTTTTTCTTTGGTGTTGAGGTAGTTATTATCCACGATCCTCCTCTTCCTCCAAAACTGGGGTTTGCTTTCTTACTCGATGTAGAAATTGTCCTTTTTCTCCCATGTCCTGCATCTTGTATCCAAAGGAGGTTGCACAGTTGTAGTGTAAGTGGTTTGTATGTCTTCCTCTGACTTGGCTTCCTTCTGGAGCTCTGTTTCCCTTTTATGTGTGCATGTGGCCCTCATGTGGGCTTGGTGGTTTCCTCGGCCATTGTTTCTTGATGGCTTTGGCGGTATGGTGCCTAGGTCTATGTTTTTAGGGGTTTATCCTGTCCTGGCATTTTTGGGCCTCTGAAAATGTGATAGGTAGGAAGGAGAAAAAAAAATGTAATTATTCCCTTGAAAACCTGAAGATGGTCATTGGATTTGGCTGGGCTGCCTAAACATCTCACGTTGTATACCCATGGCATGTGTGAGAAATATTTAATCTTTGATTTTTGGTATCTTCCAAAACCTTTTGACAAAAAATAAAAAATCTTCCATGGACTCACCATGCCTCTCAGAAACTATCTTGGGCTGCCTACTTTCCAAAAAGGAATCATGGGGTGAGGGGCTAGCATTAAGAACTTCTGCCACAGTTCTAATGCTGAGCATGCATGCAATGGACTGAACGAAAAAGACCTTAATAGCTTCCTCCCTTCACATTTTACCAATGTGGGAAAAAAAAAAAAAAAAAAAAAAAAAAAAGGATACCGAATAATAGGAACTACTGCTAGGCGTACACATCCTGTCTGCATTTTTTTTTTAAATTGCAGATGGAGAAATATGATGTATGTATTCTGCGAGAACATCCTTCGGAAGATGAATTCCTATTTGTGACCCCTTATTACAAACTCCCTGCTGTGTCAACTGATTTGCTTGGTGTTCCAAGATGCAGGGCAGATACCCCTTTGATAACCAGACAGTAAAAATCCATAAATGTCTGAAGAACAATGTTGCCTTCCAACAAGACCCTTTTGCAGAATTGTGCGCCATGTTGTACCCTAGAATAATACTTCACTAGTGTGTGGTAGTGACAGAACCAGTCCTTGACGCAGAGACCAGCTTGGACACATACAAAAAAACAGGTGTCATTCTCATTCTGTGTTTACCAGACATTTTTGGGGGGATGTTCTTTGTGTTGGGGTACCTGAGAACACCTGGAAAATGCTTCTCATGCAGCCAGCTAACTACATCTGGATTTGGGCTATGGGCCACAGTACCTTCTGGAGTCAACAGGACTGTGATGATTACTTTCTGAAATTTTAGGAAGGATGATTATTATTATGATGATTGTTTCCTGAAATTTTAGGAAGGATCCAGTTTTTCCAGTTGCTTTGTAAACAACAAAAGCATTGTATATAGCCAAATGAAATAAGTATAGACACTTTAATACCAGTGTGTAACTGCAGGAGACTAACTATGGCTTCCTTGTTGAAGTTACAACTCCCATATGAAAAATAGAGTTTTGGACACAGGGAGGCTTTTCAACTCATTGTGAGTAGTTCTTCATTACTCAAACAGGCTTTCTTCCCCTTTCTAAGTGGGGTGTCAATGAGCCATTTGGTGAATCCCTTGAAATTAGGTTGCATGGTGCCACAGCAGCCAGCTTTAATTGTCTAAACAGTGGAACACGCACATAAAAAGTTGTCCACGTACAAATGGTACCCCTTACACAACAGAGGTGACACCAAGTCCCTTACTATCTTGCCACTGTTCCCAATGTAATCTGGGCATTCGGGGGACTTTACTTGATTGTCTTGTTCCTTATAAATGCTAAATCTTGATGTATAACTTGCTGCCCTCTCATTGCCTTTATACAGTTTGACCCCATTTTTGGCACGTATGCTAAGGAGATATTGCTTTATTGAAAGCCTGCCAGTAAAACGTACAAGGGGCTTAGCTACGCAAATGTTTTGTTGGGGTGTATACACATGTGAATTTCTGGGAGGCAGTTTAAAGCAGTAGTAAACCACGACCCAATACAATGACATAATGTGCTAGTATGCACGCGGGAGTAACTATTTACGGCACACCACTCTGGAGGAACGACACAGGCATGCTGTTCTTTCAGAGCACATGCGCCAGTGCTCTACAGGAGGTAAATGTCTCCTAAACGGTGCACGTTTAGGAGATAATTACAGTACCTACAGGTAAGCCTTAGGAGCATAATTCTGTGTTTCTACCACTTCAGCAACATGGGGTCAGGTATACCTGATTGCAGTGATCTGTACAGACACTATACTAGTAATGGCAGTGAACAGCTACTTACAGTATGACTGAGATTTTGTGGCAATTTAACAGACTGACATTGCAAGTGACACCAACACAGCAAGCGGTGATAAATACTGTACACACTGATACTCTACTAATGGCGCTGGTTGTGTGACAGGGCAATCAAAAGGTTAAATGTGCTCCTTTTACTCACATAGGTCTTGCTTTCTTCTCTTCCTGACCTGAAAATCCTGTGTCTATGTTTATAAACAAGACATGGTATCCTGCTGTGATTAGCTACAACCGATCAGCAGGTTCATGGCCAAAATCATAGGCTGAAACAAAGTCAATGACAGCACAGGTTAGCAGGGGGCTTGCCCCAAACCTGGAGGAAAGCTGTCGCATACATGATTGTGCCTGTACCTACTGCTCGTTTGCAGTATGCTTACTTTGAGTGGTCAGCGGATGCAAAAACTCTAAAACATCGAATTTTTTTTTTTTTTTTTTTGAGAATACAAGGCATTCTGTGATTGGACAAGGGCAGATCCTGATATATAAACACGCCGCCTCTCCCCATGTGTTCTGTGAAAAGAATACTAGATGTTTTATGAATGGATTAGTAAGGTGTAGAGGGAGCAACACCATCTTTCATTATATAGGAAATGGAACTATGATTTACAGTGCTGGACGTTCAGTGCTTACAGTACAGTTGGGGATAAATGAAAGAAGGATTTTACCTAATGCAGCCAGCCACAAATGGGACACCCATAATTTGAGGTAATTTATAGGTACTGTAGTAATGTCCAAAACAATTATTTTCTGAAGTTCTCTTTTTGAAACAGTTTTATATTTAAATACACAGCTTTTGATATGGCACAATCCTAGCAAACATAAAACTGGGTAAACACCTAGGCAAAAGAGAAAAAGACTGCTGGTTGCCGAGGGACTTCAAAAGGTCAGAAATGGACTAGTGTGAATAGTTTGATGTGCTTCTGAAACATATCAGCAGTACATACATTAAATATTCAAATCAAGTAATCCAATACAGACACTAATACTTTAATTCCCAGATGAAATACTCATGTTCTGCAAAAGTATTTTTTACAGTGTAAACATACAGCCAAAAAAGTAAAAACCTTGTTTTTAACATTAGGAATCCTTTATCTTGTGCTTCTTTTTACGTGATTTCTTAGTAGTGGACCTAACATTTGTCATACTTGCTTTTCTTTTCAACGTGACCTGCATCATGTTTGATTTATCTCCAGGCTTACTACTCTGTGTCCCTGCTGCTGCAGTGTCAGCGGTGTTAAAATCCCTCTGTTCTGGTCTTTCTGCTGCAGTGTCAGCTCTGTTAACATTCCTTTGTTCTTCACATGCGACAGAGCTGTTAGAGGGGAAAAAAAAATGCATGTCCTTCAAGACAATCCCTTACATAATACATTGTATTCTTTCTGCTTTCTACATGTGGCTGCGTTTCTGTTAGTTGGCCCCTGCCTCGCTGTGCCTCCTGTGTGTCTCATTGTTTAGTAACTCTGGCTGCTTGTTCAAACTGCAGCTCTACTATAACTGATCTGTATTGGTGGACACAGAGGAGGCATCAGTGGACCAACATGCCTCTAAATTCTTCATAAAGGGAACCTGTTACCACAATTAAAAAGTACGGAATAAAACTGTATCCTGTCTTCCGAGTTCCACTCCTTTCTCCCAATGCCCTACACATTGGGGTTGATTTACTAAAACTGGAGCGTGCAAAGTCTGGTGCAGCTCTGCACAGAAAACAATCCGCTTCCATGTTGTATTGCCAAAGCTAAATTGAACAAGCTGAAGCTAGAAGCTGATTGACTACCATGCACAGCTGCACCAGATTTTGCACTCTTAAGTTTTAGTAACTCAACCCCATTATGTACACTGTCCTCCTTATAGCCATGCAAGCTTTCTGCTGCCTGATGGTAGAACCTTCACTACTCTTCCCTGCCCCCTTTCAAACCATCTGCCACTCACCTGCTCACATTGCCCTCTCTCATACCCTCCCCACTACTTGCCTCCTGATCATGCTGCCCCCACTCATTCTCTGGTCACACCTCTTCATCACTTGATGCTCGTTCCTATTCCCCATCCACAAAGTGTTGTGCTAATAAATGTACATGAAAACCAAAAATGTGACAATGTTATTAACGTATGTTAATATATACAGTCAGGTCCATAAATATTGGGACATGGACACAATTCTAACATTTTTGGCTCTGTAAACCACCACAATGGATTTGAAATGAAACAAACAAGATGTGCTTTAACTGCAGACTGTCAGCTTTAATTTGAGGGTATTTACATCCAAATCAGGTCAACGGTGTAGGAATTGCAACAGTTTGCATATGTGCCTCCCACTTGTTAAGGGACCAAAAGTAATGGGACAGAATAATAATCATAAATCAAACTTTCACTTTTTAATACTTGGTTGCAAATCCTTTGCAGTCAATTACAGCCTGAAGTCTGGAACGCATAGACATCACCAGACGCTGGGTTTCATCCCTGGTGATGCTCTGCCAGGCCTCTACTGGAACTGTCTTCAGTTCCTGCTTGTTCTTGGGGCATTTTCCCTTCAGTGTTGTCTTCAGCAAGTGAAATGCATCCTCAATCGGATTCAGGTCAGGTGATTGATTTGGCCATTGCATAACATTGCACTTCTTTCCCTTAAAAAATTCTTTGGTTGCTTTTGCAGTATGCTTTGGGTCATTGTCCATCTGCACTGTGAAGCAGCGTCCAATGAGTTGTGAAGCATTTGGCTGAATATGAGCAGATAATATTGCCCGAAACACTTCAGAATTCATCCTGCTGCTTTTTTTGTCAGCAGTCACATCATCAATAAATACAAGAGAACCAGTTCCATTGGCAGCCATACATGCCCACGCCATGACACTACCACCACCATGCTTCACTGATGAGGTGGTATGCTTAGGATCATGAGCAGTTCCTTTCCTTCTCCATACTCTTCTCTTCCCATCACTCTGGTACAAGTTGATCTTGGTCTCATCTGTCCATAGGATGTTGTTCCAGAACTGTGAGGGCTTTTTTAGATGTCGTCTGGCAAACTCTAATCTGCCCTTCCTGTTCCTGTTCGTTTCATTTCAAATCCATTGTGGTGGTGTATAGAGCCAAAAATGTTAGAATTGTGTCGATGTCCCAATATTTATGGACCTGACTGTATATACACAATGTGACAATGTTATATATATATATATATATATATATATATATATATATGTTAATATAGGATGCATGAAGAATTATTGTCCAACTGGGAAATTATATACAACAGTCTCCTTTAAGATAAACACTCCAAGAGATTATCCCTTAGTCTTCCATAATCACCGTTGTCACCCAACACCACTGTAGACACAAGATGGATGCTTACCAGAAATACTGATCCCTTATTTAGAGAGGTCAGCATGCGCTTTAGTTAATAAACTAAAGTGGAAATTATGTGCGTCAAACCAGACCACAGTAACTTAAGCCACTCCTCAGATGACCTCAGACACATGACGTACATATACACTCATATGGGTATGAAAAAATATGCCTCTCATAGTTTGAAAAAGTTAAAACCCCCATTTTCTTCACATCGAAAACATAGGCATTAAAATAGTCACCAAATGGCATGGAAAGCTATACTTCCGGTAAACTCGTATGCAACAATGGCACAGGGAAGGTCCCGGCTGACGCATTTCGTCATACCAGACATCTTTCAGGTCTGGGAGTCCTCCCTACCCAATTATATCTCTCTCTATCAATGAAGAGCATAAACAAAGTCTGTGATCAAGCCTCAGAATCAATACAAAAATAAAAGTTATATAACCGCAAATGTCTTAAATAAAATAAATACACAAAATATTGTAGCCTAGATGGAAAACCAATCAAACCAAATAGCAATCCTAATAATGTGGTATATTTAATAAACGGCACTCTACTCCATAGAAGAGCATAAAGCCTTCTAGTGGCCAAAAAGAATATGGCAATTGGTAAATATTAATAGGCATTTTTACCACCATACAGGACACACTGACACATACAATATACATATATCCTAAAAAAAAATAAAAATGAATAGATTTTAAATAACAATACATTTTTTATTGATATATTGAAATTTTTGTTTGATGATTGTGGAAGACTAAGGGATGACCTTGGGAGTGTTACAGTCCCCATTAAAGGTAATTTCACTCCATTCTATGACCTAAGCACTTGACTGGTGCCCTCTTCTTCCCCCCTATTGCCCCTCTCCAATATTAACCTCACTTCTACTCCAGCATGGTTCACACTACTCTAAGCATACCGCTCATGTAAGCACGACTCAAGTCTACAGCCTCCCCAGCCAATTGGTGGGGACCCTTCTTACATATACCGACTGTTAACATGAGTGAGATTCACATTCAGATATAACGTTAATGTACATTGTTTTGTATGTTGAAAATCCTTTAATAAAAATATTTGAATATAAAAGGTAATTTCACAATTGGACAATAATTCTTCATGTATCCTCTCCTTTTGGGACTTTTTTTAACTTAATAGTTAAGAACCTTTTTCTCCTGAATGAGATTAATTTCATTATTTATTTTAAATGTATTTACATTTATTACATTATCCAATTTTTGGTTTTTATGCACATTTATATTTATTAGCGCAACACTTGGTATTGACTTGTATATTGGAGAGGATTTCCTTTGTGTTTGCTCCTTTTATTTATTTTTGCATTTTGAACGGTTTGCATTTTTTACGAATTATAAAACAACTATGTAAAATTGTACATAATATCCCCAAACCTTGCCTGTTCTGAAATGGGAACACTTGGGGGAAAAAAAAGAAATCAGAATGGGTGTTTTTGATAGACATCTGTGGTACTCTGATGCCTAGTGGTTTCAATAATGCATCTCCCTACTCATAAGCCATAATTTGTTTGCAGCTCTTCTGCAGTCCTGTTCTAGGGGAGCACTAGTATAAAAAAAAAAAAAAAAAAGGATCTGTAGGCCTTAATTTATCATAATGCCTAAAGCCCCATACACACGGGCTGAATATCGGCCAGTCAAACGGGCATGCCGAAATACCAGCATCCAATCAGCGCTGACTGGTGTGTTCTGGCGGGGTGGGGTGGGAGGGCCCAGTCCCCCTGACAGAACACAATAGCTCAGCAGGGAGGTCATTGTACTAACATGGGTTTACATGCTCAGATGTAGAAGTGAATCTGCCTGGTGGATATGGGATATGTAGGAATAAATCTGGCTGAGCGCCGAGACTCACAAATAACAAAGGCCCCATGATAAATGACAATACAGTAAACTGTAATGTAATGCTACAGATCAATCCTTCTAGGGATTAAATCATCACCATGACAGCTCATCCAAACTAATTTTAGTTACATACCAGGATTCCCCAACATACCATATTGAAAAACCGTTTTTGTGACCTACGTTCTTTGCCTTATTTCCCCGTTCACAAAAAAAAAAAAAAAAAAAAAAAAAAGAGAGGTCCAACTACTTTAGTGAAAGAGAATGTAAACCAACATTTCATATTCCTGATATGTGCCTGCTGTACCATGTACCCAGGGCTGCTGATAGAAATCATGGGGTCCCATATAGACTACCCGACAGCCCCCCCAACACAATATCAAAGCGATATTTTGCTAGCACCAAGATCAGCAGAGAGACATCAAAGATGAGATGAGACCAAGAGTACAAGATGGAAGGACTGCAGGGAAACTAAACGAGCCACAATCAATAGGACTGAGAAGGAGAAAGATTGGAGCATGATTGCAGGGATAGGGGGAAAGAGTGAATAGCGCAACAATCTGGAGCGATTGGGGGGGGGGGGGTGGTTTTGTGGTTGTTGTGGTTGCGGTTGGAGGGTGGGGGGGGGGGGGGGGGGGGGGGGGTGGTCAGGTATGAGAAACAAAGTTACAGAAGCAACAGACTGAACACAGCTAATATTATAGCCGCACTGTGGGAGAATGACAGGAAACTGTAGAATGGAATTTAGTGGCTGCAAATGTGTGTCAGTTGTCTGGGCCCCCTGCTGATGAGATGGCGACAGGGCCCCTTGCAGGAGGACCAGAGGTACCCCCATATCATTGGCCCTGAATGTACTTGTATGAAAAAGCATCCAGTTCTCTGTGTATTGCTTCCTTTGTGTGAATCAATACACAGAGAGGGGGGGGCAAGGTCAGGGATGAGAAACAAAGTTACAGAAGCAACAGACTGAACACAGCTAATATTATAGCTGCACTGTGGGAGAATGACAGTAGACTGTAGATTGGAGTTTAGTGGATGCAAATGTGTGTCAGTTGTCTGGGCCCCCTGCAGATGAGTTGGCGACAGGGCCCCCTACAGGAGGACCAGAGGTACCCCCATATCATTGGCCCTGCATGGACTTGTAAAGCATCCGATTCTCTGTGTATTGCTTCCTTTGTGTGAAATCCCTGGTGTTCCTGCCAGTCCCTCTACTTTCCTATTACAAATTGACCTTACTAAGCAGGAGAGAACAGCATAGCCTCCCCCCCACCCATTCTGGGGCACTCCTACCTGTGTGTCCATAAGACACACAAACAAGAAACAAACAAGAGATCCCTGTGCTCAAATCCCAATAGCTAGTGCATGCATTTATCCATCAGGTGCTAAAGGGGTGTAATCGCATATTAACACGAGAAATTCTGAAAGACACTCTGCACACTGGTATATACCCTTTCCAGCAGGCTTTGCAACAAAGAATAGAGATATTTGCGTAGGCAGAGCAGAGTAGGACTGGCCATAGAGGGATTACTTTGACGCAGTTGGCAACTTAACCACTTGAGCTCCAGAGGATTTACCCCCCTTAATGACCAGGCCTCTTTTTGCTACTCGGCGCTGCACTAATTCAACTGATAATTGCGCGGTCATGCAATGCTGCACCCAAACGAAATTTAGGTCCTTTTTTTCACACAAATAGAGCTTTCTTTCGGTGTAATTTGATCACCTGTGCGCTTTTTATTTTTCACGCTATAAACAAAAAAAGTCAAAAATTTTGAAGAAAAACCAATATTTTTTACTTTCAGCTATAAAAAATATATAGTAAACTCAAAGTTGGTTATACATTTAGGCCAAAATGTATTCTGCTACATGCTTTTGGTAAAAAAATCCCAATAAGTGTATATTAATTGCTTTGTGTGGAAATTATAGCGTCTACAAACTATGGTATAAATACTGCAATTTACGCCATTTTTCTGCTATACAGCGCTGCGCTAGTTTAACGGACAATTGCGCGGTCATGCAATATGGTACATAAATGAAATTTACATCCTTTTTTTCTCCCACAAATTGAGCTTACTTTCGGTGGTATTTGATCGCCTGTGCGGTGTTTATTTTTTTTGCGCTATAAAAAACAAAAAAGCTGACAGTTTTGAGGACAAAAAAAAAAACTGTATTTTGGACTTTTTGCTATAAAACATGTCCAGTAAAAAAAAAACACACAAAAATCAAAATTTAGTCATAAATTTCTGCCAACATGCATTCTGCGACATGTCTTAGCTAAAAAAAAAACCCAATACGTGTAAATTAATTGGTTTACGTGAAAGTTATAGCGTTTATAAATGGCGGGAAAAATACTGGGATTTTTAGGTTTTTTTTTTATACGAATAATGGCGGCGATCAGCGAATTATGGCGGCGACCAGCGACTTATGGCGGGACTGCGGCGGACATTCTGACATTGGGGGGGTACTGACTTGGGGTCACCGACATCCCCAAGAACACTAATACAGTGATCAGTGCAAAAAAAAAAAAAAAAAAACTGACACTGTACTAATGGCAATGGGGAGGAAGGGGTTAACTTTATTTTGCAGGGAAGGGTTATAGGAGTGAGGGGAGTGTTTTACTAGGGGGCGGGGGTGTGTACTGGAGGGACAAGGCTGATCGAGAAAGAGAAACTGTTCTTTCTCGATCAGCTCATCCTCGAGCTGACAGGGAAGTGACAGACAGCACAGCTACTGCAGCTGTGCTGTCTGTCACTGTTTGCCGCCGATCGCCGGGACATAGCCGCTAAGGAGCGGCTGTGACCCGGCGACTGACATCTGCGGCGGTGATCCGCAGGGCAGACAGGGCGGCGGCGCGCCTCGTGCGCGCCCTCTATTTGTTTACAAAACACACGTTTTAAAACGTGGTTTTGCCTGCGAGTGCCGCCCTGCCGCCGTATATGTACAGTGGCTGGGCGGCATGTAGTTAAACATGTATTACTATATGTGTGAACCAAATATCCCTATTCTGTGTGCAAAGTCTGCTGGAAAAGGTATATACTAGTGTGCAGAGTGTCCTTCAGATTTTCTAGTGTTCATAAGACACAGAAAGCGCAGTTTAGGCCCACCCCCCTTCACTGGCTGTGATTGACCTGCTGCGGTCTCTCAGCCACTGAGGAGAAAGAGACCCGGGAGAGTTGCCGCTTCCCTGCTAGCTTGATTGAGATGGGGCTCAAGTAAGGCTTTTTACCTTTTGTTTGCAACCACTTTAAACGGAATGGGTTGTTTTACAAGGTGAGGGTTTACACATATTTTAAACTGCTTTGCATAGAACAGATACAGTCACCTCCTCACCACCTCCCAAAAGGGAAACCTAATAAATGCCTTTACCTTCTGCTACCTTTGTCCTTGCGCTCAAACAACGCAACAAAGAATCCATTGGTGAGTGTTTCTGTAAGAGAGGCACGCAGGCAACTCTCTGATCCAGGAAATGTGTTCATTCCTCGTATTGGCCATGATGGAAGCGCCTTTACCAGCCTGGATAATTCACAGAAAAAAAAAATCAAGTACACAAGTAAAGGATTACCATGTACCTACACAAGGGCCTATGCTGTACCTAAAATCTGTGTGTTGTTCAAGAATGTTCTTCACCACATCCTCATTCTCCTGCTGGTGTACAGAGCAAGTAGAGTACACTACAGTTTGCACAGAGGAGAAGCTTAGAGCATGGGACAGAGCTCGGCCCTGGAACGCTGACAAGGCTTGAAGCCTCTCACTTGTCTCTGATCCTGCCTCCTCGCTGAGCATCCGCATACGGTCTGGCATGCCTATAAAACAAAGTGAAAGATTCTTCTACTGAATAAATATCCAAATAAGCTTTAAAGTAAAAGTATCACTTTCAGGATTCTTTAATCAAATAGTAAAAATAAAACTGAAGAGAAGAAATCCGTAGGAACCAGTCAGATTTCAATTTAATTCACATTGCCAAAAGAATGTAATACAGGCCATAGACGGGTCGTTTATCGGCCGATTTTTCGTCCACACGAAAAAAATTGGCCGATATTCACGCCGTTAGTGGGGCCAGCCCGTCGGCCGTTTTTCACAGATCTCATTTATTTTTATCGGGTCATGCTGGAAAATCCACAAAAACGGACGTTTTTTGGACATTGGTGGCAGCATCGGCAACAGGGCCGACCAATTTTTCGTTTATGGCCTGCCTTAACTGCACACTGTTCATTGACTTTCTGTAAGGATATAGGACAAAGCATTGTTTCCAGTAAGAAAAAAAACCTAGTGAGCAGCCTTTTTACCTCAAGCTATATTATGTACACTATTTTTACACAAATGTGTTCAGTAAAAACTACAAAAAAGCCAGTTAAAATAAATTTCCAGTTTCCCCATAATAAAAATGTTTAACCAGAAGTTGAGTATTTTCCGAGTCTAGTTTTTCCCACTGCAACACCTACTACCCAGCACTACTTGAACATTCTAGTTTGGTCATAAAGCACCCCATAGATTTTAATGCTGCATTAACTCCAACAACTGCTTCAGCTCCTACATTCACCTGTTCCTCAACAACAGCTGTAGCCCAAAACACTGTCCTCCAGATCAATAGATTATTAGGCCCCTACATGTGCTTTTCCAACACACGGTCATCCAGCAACTCCTATTCCACCATACACAGTCTAGTGCACAGTCCACCATACACAGAAGCTCTATTTTCCTCACACTCTTCCCTTAAATAGGGAATCAGCAATCAGAAAACAATGAGCACCCTATTACCTAACATCTTTAGTTAAAAGTAGTTGCAAAACTCAGACATGAAACACGAATAAAGAATAATCCTCTATAGCGTTTCTTGTCTCAAGAGCACCAAGTGTTATTTCTGTCTGCTTCCTCTTTCTCTGCTATCAGCATGAATCACTTCTTACAAGTTTTCCTGACACCAAGAGAAAAATAGTGACATGGGTGGAATCTCTGGCACACAGCCTGTGATAGACAGACTTAGCTCTGTTCCTGTGTGAAGGTGGGCAAGTCCCTTCCCTCCAATCAGTTCTTAGAGCTCTTCTCACTGAGCTCCACAGTATGTAACTTCAGCTCTCTGCCCCCATTTTCTGAAAGCTCAGCCAAGAAAATTCTGGAATCTGAACGCATGTAGAGAAGAGAAGACTGCACATAAACAGGTACAAGTTATGTAGGAGGACTGGTTTCATCTCTGTGTATCATTTGAGGCCAGTTACTTTCATTGGTATATGTAAGCGTTTACAACCACATTAAAAGACAGGCTCTGTCCATATTTCCAAGCGCACACCTGAAAGAGAATACTGCAAGGTGGTCAATATTTTCCTTACCTGACCCACTGCATGATGGGTCCACTAAAATGTGACTGACTTTCTGATATTTTGGATCATCTGGGTTGACACTAAGGAAGTCTTGGTTCGCCAGCTCCTGACATATGACCCCAGCCCGTAGTAGGAGTGTGCTCATTGTGGCTAAACGCTTAGTGTCCAGGTCAAAGGCAAAAACTTTTCTAAAAAAAACAAAAAACACACAGTAGTTATTTTAAAAGGGTTATATTTTATCTGAAATAATAGTGTAAGGCATACAATCACCACCTCAAATATTTCAAAAGCTGTTGCCCTGCTTTCAATATTGTGAAGATTTGTTAAGTTATAGGGAACATCTAGAAAGGGTACTGGTTAGGCACAGTAAACCTGAAAAATATATCTTTTGCTGTGAATTCCTCCTGAAAAATAGCAGTGTACTTGCTCCCATATGTCTAGCCAAACCTGTGCCTAAAGGTGTATATCCAAGGCAATGCTAGTCTCATGAGATTGGGTGTTGTCACCTCTGTGTAACACTGTTCTTGACAGAGAGGAAGCTGTACCGGAGGACCTGCAGTGCAAGAATCTCCCTGTTTCTGTATCACTTATAGTGCAGATCTGTGCTTTTCTGCACTTCTACTTTATGCTTAGCACACCAATCATCAGGGGTCAGCTATGGCGTAAGGAAGCAAAACTCTGCTACTCTATGAAAATGGTCACCTCCACACAGACACATTGTGGAACAAGGCATTGGTCAGTGATGTGAAAAAGATCAGCTATAGGGAGTCTACAGGCAATAAGTGAGGCTACTCATTTGCCCTCCTCTTGCCTTTATAGGGGCATAGCTTCCACAGTATAGGTCTAAAAATGTAGGTAATCTGCTATACATTAACATGTTTTAGTAGAACTACACCCTCCTAACCTTTACAGCCAAGGAAGCTGCTATCTTAACATCTGTTTGATTTACAGTTGCCTTGGGGCTGCACGTGTGAGTAGCTATGACAGCCATTTGAGGGCTTGACCGTTCAATTGAGAGCCAACATAGGCACACTAACAACTCTAACAGTTATCATTCAGGCCTCTTTCACACCATACGTGCAGAAAAACTGATGGAAACTGAGGTACAGATTTCCCCTGCAGTAACATCTGTTTTCATGTGTGCTTCAAAGTGTTTGATACAGGTTGCAGATTCCTGTGCAGAAAAAAATCTGCATGTGATTCCAGTGTTGTGGTGTGAACATGGCACGTAGACAACAATTGATTTTGTTGTACCATTGCAGTACGCATCCACAAAATGGACATCTTTGCACCATGGTGTGAATGAGTCCTCAGGACGTTTTTTGGAAACCTGTTAACTCAGCCAAGGAAGCTTCAGCCTCTATTTGATCTGCAACTGCCATGGTGCTCACACATGTGTGATCAGTTATGACACCAGGCATTTGATTGTTTGTGTAACAGTTTGGTTGTGAACACAAGCAAAAGTGACAGCATTCCCGGGAATGTAACTGATTTTTGAATCTGTTAAATCATTGGATTTAAAGTTAACCATCACTGAACTAATTTAAGGAAAAAAATCCATTATAAATAAAAAGGTGTCTACAGTAAATCTCTAAATAAACTGTTTCAGGGTCTGGAAGGGATACAAACATAAAATGTACAACCTGAATTCTGCAAATTGCAGTTTATTCCAACCCAATAAACCTGTTACCAAACCTGACATTCTAAACTGAACATATGATGCAAACAATATATAAAACAGGGATTACCTTTATTACAATACACTTTCAATAAATGCTGATCATTTTAATGTCCATCTTCAATTAAGGTGACCTGGCAGACAGACATTTAGGGGGAGATCTTGGATGCATCTTTATTTTCTTTGTAAATCCTGGGCGATTTTGTACTGAAATAAGGTGACCTGGCAGGCATTTAGGGGGAGATCTTGAATGCCTTTTTTTCCCCTTTGTAAATCCTGGGTGATTTTGTACTGAAATAAGGTGACCTGGTAGGCATTTAGGGGGAGATCTTGAATGCCTTTTTTTTCCCCTTTGTAAATCCTGGGTGATTTTGTACTGAAATACTGCACTGCAACCACAAGCTAAGAGGGATGACTCATGGTTGCTGCTCAGTCCCAATGACCCCAATGAGCAAATTTGACATACCATGCTGCCTGTCAAACTCTGCAAGCCAAGTTAGAGTTGCTGCAGCATGTGTACTACACTATTTAGTGTCAGGATTTAAGTTGGTGGTCGCAAAAACGTGAATAAACTACCTGCTGTTACCACCCGTGTGAAATAGCCCCAAGAGATCTGGAAAGTGAGGTTTTGGTAACAGAAAATGGTTGTTTTTCAAACGATTCATTCATATGAGTGGCCAGGAGGTGGGCGGTGGTAAAAACAGGCAGCTGAGTTGTGGTGTTACCATCTTCTTACCTCACTCACATCTAAAAAGATAGCATGCAGCTACTCGGGGTCTTACACATGCCATGGCAAAAATTGTACCTCAGATTACGTGCACCCCTGACAGCCTCGGAGCTGCTGTTCTATCACCCCCTAAATAGCAATCTCCCACAGATCCCTTTTCAGAGAGGTGGTAGAGACAGTCATAAAACAGTTTTGGGGTTTCATTAGGTGATCAGTTACAAAGCAAACATCACTTGCTAAAGATCTCTTATAATGCCAAGTGTTATAAATCATTGAAACAGTGTTTTTTTTTTTTTTTCTTTCTTCTTAAGGCTGACAATTGGATTACACGTGTCAATAACGCTACACAACATGTACACTAGTATATCACTCAAGGAGTATATGCTATGCACACATTCTCCTCAGCCACACATACCCTTTGTTTTGTAATCTAGCAGCCAGATGACTTGTCTTGTTTCCTGGAGCAGCGCAGGCATCAATAACATGGGCCCCAATAGGAGGAGACAGAAGCAATGCTGGCAGACAACTAGCCTACAAAAATAAAGTAAAATGAGCAAACACTGACAACACCTAGGTCTTGGAAGAGACATTACATCATTCCTAGCTGTTATTCTCACCTTGTCCTGCAGTATGAGATGCCCAGCTGTATATAATGAGTCTTTGTGGAAATCTGTGTCCGGAGGAAAGACCAATAGATCAGGAATGTGGAGATCTTGAAGAAATCTCTTGCCAGGCCTCTGTGCAAATTCGACAATTTCTTCTATACTGAACATACGCATAATTACAAATGTGATGAACATGTAAAGCAATTTGATTCACAACAAAGACAAATGGCAGCTCAATGCCAATACTTTAATCCATATTTAAAAAAAAAGGGTAATTTCCCCAATTTTACAACATAGTATGTAAAGAATATATAAACATGTACATTATGAAACACTAACAGACACCACTGAAAGTCGAACTAGGCCTTGCTCCCTTCAGGCTCCCCATGTCTTCCTAATGCTGAGAAAGTGAAAAGTTTGAACTACCCAAGTTTGTGACCTTTAACTTGGAGCAATAGTAAACTTTATACAATTTTTTCGTAAAATGGACCCCCTGCAAGTTTATGCCATAATGTGCTAGCAAGCACCACATACCATTACATTATGGCAGACTTACTTTTCAAATGCAGCCTTCCAGCACTGAGCTATCACTGCTCTCAATGCTTCCATCTCCACCCAGTCTTTCTTCTGGGTTTATGCTCTCTAGCTATTTGAATGGCCAGGTTTCAATGACATCACTCCTAGAGCACACTGCTCTCTGCATTCATGACACACTGTGTCATAAACAGCAAACCTTTAGGAAATAATCACATTGCTTACAGGTAAGACTTAGAATAACTTTTCCTGTAGGACAGAATTAAAAACAGGACTTGCTACTGTTTTATAGTGGATGTCTAAACCCCCAAAAAAAAAAAAAAAAAAGTTGAGGCTGGGTGAGCTCCAAACATCTTGTAGTGAGCCAACACTGTCTCTGCTGCACTGAAATCCCAAGCATGGTTTTCAGCCCTGCATAGTTTTCTACGGCTTTACTACAAAGCACCTCCCCTTCTCGCTTCCATACTATAAGTGGGGGAGCGTCTGTAGTGGGTGGGGGTGTGTGTATGTGTATATATATATATATATATATATATATATATATATATATATATATATAATAAATCTCTCAATTTCAATATATCTGTCATTCTGTTAAGTAATTCCCCTAACAAAAAGACAATATCACTGCTACCTGAGAACTCACCTTCGTGCCTTTCCTAGGTAGGTATACCCCTGGCGTTTGAAATAAGAGGTGACTTCATTCACGGAGGTCTTTAGTGTGTTCACACGTACATATCGTGGCAAGACTGGTCCTGAAGGTAGAGAAGATGGAAAATGGGAACAATTTGAAAAAGGAATAATTTTTCAAACCAAGTGCATAAAACAAATGTGTATGTATGCGTGCAAAATGTTTACCCATGAGAAAGGACTTCTAAAAGGCTTTCTAAAGAGAGAACAGCAGTATTTATCTTCTATCACTGAACAGAATAGATCGAGAGGGAGGGGTAGAGAGTCACTGTTCTAGCTCATTTATTTTTGTGTGTAAATATAAAGTGGAACTAAACTCCAAAATATTTACCTCTGCTTCAAAGGTCTGCTGCCCATGAGGCCTTCACCAGCACTGGCATCTTCTCTCCGGCTTCCTTGGGGTGCCAGTCTTTGGCCATCTTGATTGCTAGCGCAGGATGATGTTTCTCATGCAAGCACAGAAACAGTCATTCTGGAACACAGGCAATGTGTCAGAATGTAAACTGAGCTGCGTTCACAGCTCAGTGTTACAGTCTACAAAGGACTGCATGCAAGCAGGTAAGTGTATTTTATTGCAGAAGAGACACTGCATATCTCTTCTGCAATAAAGAGCCTGCCTGTTTGCAATTTGTTATTTTAAATTTTAGTTCCACTTTACGACTGCACTACTGAGCTCATGTAAACAACAAGATTTTTTACAACAGATGGTAAAGAGAAACTAGAAAATAGATGGAAAGGAATCTGAAGTTCTATTTGCTGTCTGGATACAAAAATACATAATATTAAACATTCCATATTTACATGGCTAGATGAATTGTTTTTACTTTTTATTTAATCCCTGACCATACATACAACCCTGCTATTTGGGCCCCTTAAAAAGAGATTGTCACCTTAGCAAATCAGGGTAGGTGACAGTGATACTCACTTCTCCAGGGTTCAGGGCCACCTCCCCCCTCACCTTCTGTGGCTGCCACTGCAAAATACCTGGTGCTGCTAAGTATAGGGAGCATGTGATCTCCACAAATGATGCACTGCTCAGGCCTTGCAGGCAATCGCTAGACCCGAATGCTGTCATATGACAGGGTGTGACACCATTGCTCCCTCTGAGCTCTAACACCAACCAACGATGGCTGTTTCGGTGATAATGTGACACAGGAAGCAAGTATAAAGTGGGTGGTGTATGAACTCTATACACCCTAAATGCGCAAGGTAACAGTACTTGTTTAAATTTTGATCCTTCGCGTACTCTGTTCAGCTTTGATTAAAATGATGTCCTTAACCACTTGCCTACCGGGCACTTTTACCCCCTTCCTACCCAGGCCAATTTTCAGCTTTCAGTGCTGTCGCACGTTTGAATGAGAATTGCTCGGTCATGCAACACTGTACCCATATGACATTTTTATCATTTCTTGCACACACAGAGGTTTTGATGGTATTTTCCCACTGGGTGTTTTATTTTTTGCACTATAAACGAAAAAAAAAAAAAAAAAAGCAAAAAAATTTGGGAAAAAAAATAAGTTTGTTTCTATTATAAAAATTTTGCAAACAGGTAATTTTTCTCCTTCACTGATGTGAGTTTATGAAGCTGCACTGATGAGAGCCACTGATGGGCAGCGCTGACTGGGAGCAACTGCTGGACGGCACTGATCATCAGTGCCTTGATTATGCGGATGTCCTCTGTGTCATTTGCTGGTTATCGGCAATACTTTCCTCACACTGTGATAGCGTGAGGAAAGTGCTGCCGATAACTGGCAACTGTATTTACATTGTGATCTGCTGTGTCATTGGACACAGCTGATCACGTGGTAAAAGGCCGCTGTGATTGCCCTTTTACCTCATCATGTGATCAGTTGTGTCCATAGGACACAGCGATCTGAGAGCGCCGGGTGCACGCCACTGGGGGCGCGGTCTGGGAGGATGTCATATGATGCCCTCCCAGAGCTGGACAATCACGCTATAGCTGTCATTCAGCTATAGCGTGGTTGGCAAGTGGTTAAAGGGGAACTTAACCTAAAAAAAGAAATTGTGAACAGGCAGGCTCTTTATTGCAGAAGAGACTTACAATAACTATTCTGCAATTAAATAAACTTACCTGCCTGTTCGCAATGCCCTGCAGAATGTACACTGAGTTGCACATGCACAGCTCAGTTTTCATTCCAGTTGCCAAGATGACTGTACTACTTTGCATGCATAAGATCAACATCACCCTATGCTGGCCAATCAAGATGGCCAAAGACTGGTACCTGGAAGATGATGTCGGCGAGAGACCTCACAGGTATTGGACCCTTGGAGTGAAGGTATTTTTTTACCTTTACTTCCACTTTAATTAGATATTATAACTTCCATTGCTTTCCTCAGTATGTACACTGCATGGTGCAGTATTGTGACTTTCCTGGAGACTAGTAGCCCTGGAACAAGAAGATCACTAGTTCTAACATACCATCAGCCACGCCACCCATAGAAGTCAACAAGTCTTGATTGCTGCTGACTTTCTTCTTGACCTTTAACTTTGCGAGTTCAGCTTGTAAGCGGGCACGGTGAGCGAGAATGGTTGCCTTCCAGCGACCTCCACAATGCAGACCTTTTCCGAACAGCAAATCATACACCAGAACCTGAGACAGAAAGACACATGGTGAGCTGACTAGTCATCTGTAAAGCATGCACACTCTAAAGGAGAAAAGTGGACTATTTTGGCAAAAAAAAACAATATATAAAGCAATAAATTACCCTATTTTTTTTTGTAAAATATGAAAGATGAGGTTTCACTGAGTAAATAGATATCCAACTTGTCAAACTTCAGTACCCTATATTTTCTATAAGTCGACACTTTTAAAGCCCCTTATAGGTCATCATTTTAGTGTTACGGAGGAGTTCTGGTGCTAGAATTATTGCTCTCATTCTGGCGTGCGCGGCGGTAAGTGACATGTGTATCGCAATCGACGTTCACATGCGTAGGCGGACCAGTGTGTGCTTTTACGTTTGTACGTGCTTATATGTGGGGGTGGAGGGCCTCATTTCTTTTATGGGGGGGGGGGGGGGGGGGGGGGAATGGTATGTGCTTGGGTATAACTTTCATATTTTACAATAAAGAAAAAAAAAAAAAAAAACAGGTGACAGGTTCTCTTTGAGGCATCCAGGATCTAAAAGACCCTCCATGTCTACCCTGTGCTGCACTGAATGTAATACTGCCACTGCGTGGAAGCAATTGGGCGGCAGCGCTGCTGCACGAATGCTTCCACCTGACAGGCCAGCCCATTGCTTGCTCGCAGCAGGGCTAAAGGTAGAAAAAAAAAACGACTTGCCCGATGTCCGGAACTACATGTCTTGAGCATCGGGCGATAGGAATCGAACATCCCAGCAGCCAACTTTCAAAAGGTTGTAGTAATATGTGCTTGAATCTGTGCACAGCTTTCATGAATTTGGCGTATGCCATTTTAACCCCTTTACAACCACCTAACTCATAAGCATTGCTGGGTGGCTGATGTTTGATGTGCTGAGAGTCAGTCCGCTCACTGCATACTCCCAGCACAAAGACTGAGCTGTCAAAGCAATAGTCACATGATCGCTAATCCTTCCTACCCCTCAGGCATTCAGAACCAGGCCTGGACTGGCCATAGGGCACAACGAGCATTTGCCCGATGGGCTGATGCCACCTAAAATAGTAGAAGTGGCAGGGCGCCACATAGAGGAGCCAATCCATCCATTTCTCTCCTGCCACTGCTGAATGCCCGCTCCCCCTCCTGCAGGCATTCAGTTGTGGCAAGAAAAATGGATGGATCAATTCTTCTATATGCTGCCCTTCAGCGGCTCTTATCCATCTCCTGCTGCCCCAGGCTTCTGTGTACTCCACTGGTGCCCCCCTCTGCCAGGTTCCCCACTCCCCTTGGCTGCTGTGGGGAATCTGTCAGGATGGGAGAGCGGGGAAAGGGCTGGTAAATATGTCATTTACCGGCCCCTTCCTTGTCTGAATGGACAGTCAGTGATCAGTACCAATCACTGACTTTGTCCATTCATAACTGAACAGGGGTGGATGAGACCAGGGGAATTGCCCCCTGAGTGCTCTGATGCAATAGTCGCTCCCCAAAGGCCTCAGAGCTGAGTGCATCCGCTCCCACAGCCCAGAGCCAGCACTGACAGCTATCCATCCCCCGAGGAGAGAGAGTAAGAACTGGTTCTTGCTCTTTCTCCCCCCCTCCCCTCCTATGTCTGCCCTGCCCACACTCCCTGGCAGTTTTGTGCCTCAGAGAAGGGATATGTGGGTGGGAAGTCTGAAGGCCAGCAGAGGACTGAATTCCTTCCTTTATTCCCGAAAGCCCCTCCCAACGGGGCTCCTAAAGAAGAAGTAAAAAAAAAAAAAATGGTAAAAAAAAAATGTAATTGATAAAATAAACTACTGACACCAGTGGCGGAACTACCATGGTCACAAAGGTTGCACCTGTGACTGGGCCCTGAAAGTCAGGATCTGTTCAGAAGTACTTCAAAGGGAAGCAGGAAGGGGTTAAATGAGCCATAATGCCAGGAAAATGTCATTATTACCCCCCCCATATAGATCATATGGGGCCACCGTTACTGATGACAGCCCAGGCTGCAGGGGGCGCCATCCTACTCACTTTGGCCAGGTTCAGGGGCAGTTTCTTGTTCCCTCGCAGTAGCTGTGAACTGGTGATGACGTCCTCCAGCACAGGGGAGAAGCGCAGAGTCTCACACAGCAGAGCGTATAGCTGCCGGACATTCTGGATGACAAGGAAAACAAGGGGTTAATCAGCGCCGCCATGTGCTGTGTCTATACAATGACAGCGGGTGAGGAGGGTCACCTTGTAGCCGCTGTCGTACACCAGGCTCTTCACAGCCCCCTCCTTCCGCTGCAGCCTGTCCAAGATCCCCGCCGCCGCCTGGTACACAGCCATGGCCGCTCCGAGTTACACACGTGTCTCCACTTCCGCCTCTCTGCATCCATTCACCGCCGGCGATTTACGACACCATGTAGGGCAGCGCTTTACGGCGGTGTGTGTGTTGAATGGGCGGAGGTACAAAAAGCTACAAAATGCTAATGGAGATTGTGAGTTTTCATAGAAAAGCCCTGGAAACGGTCTAATATGTAGAAGGAAGTCTTGTCATTTTTGTGTCTGTGGTTCTGCGCTAGAATCTAATGCCCCATCAATAAACAATCTAAAATAATGCCAAATCCTCTTAGATTTCAAGAAATGGTTTCTAAATAACTGTTGTGTCTCATGTTATGTATGCAGGTTCTTCGTGACACTGAATACAAATCTTTTTTTATATATAACATAAGGTAATGTTATTACAATGTGTATCAATGATATCCATAACTATCAGTATATCATAGATTTTATTTATTATTATTATAATACAGGATTTATATAGCGCCAACAGTTTGCGCAGCGCTGTACAATATAAGGGAGACAGTAAGATTACAATACATTTCAGTACAGAAGGAATAGGAGGGTCCTGCTCGTGAAGCTTACAATTTAAAGGAAGGGGGAGGTGATACAAAAGGTGATAGCTGCGGGGGATGATCTGGCGGAGGTGATTCAAGTACAGTTCTTAGGTGGAGGTGGGGTAGGCTTCCCTGAAGAAGTGAGTTTTTAAAGATCGCCTAAAGGCAGGCAGGGTGGGGGCTGACCGGACATGCTGTGGTAGGGAGTTCCAGAGGATGGGAGAGGCTCTGGAGAAGTCCTGGAGGCGAGCATGGGAGGAGGTGATGAGGGAGCTAGAGAGGAAGATATCAAGGTACTTATATAGCGCCATCAATTTATGTAGCACTTTACATATATATTGTACATTCACATCAGTCCCTAACCCTCAACGGGCGTACAATCTAAGGTCCCTAACTCACATTCATACATATACATACTAGGGACAATTTGGACAGGATCCAGAGGACACCAGCATGTCTTTGGAGTGTGGGAGGTAGCCAGAGTACCCAGAGGAAACCCACACAGGCACAGGGAGAACACGCAAATTCCAAGCAGGTGGTGCCATGGGTGGGATTTGAACCAATAATCCTAGTGCTGCCAGGCAGAAGTGCAAACCATTTAGTCACTGTGCTGCCCCATGCATTGATTTCTTTTTTTTTTTAGCTTTCATTTTTATTGAACTTTTACCAGGTTACAATAATAGGCAATGGTTTCGTAATATGATAATACTGTGTTGTAACATTTAAAACATTAGAATCAAAGCATGTTAACAATTACATACACACACGATATAGGTTATGTTTCTTCAACAGTTGTTACTATCGTTAGTACATTTGTTTAGAGTTCCTATAGTGTTGTTTGAAATTTCATTAATATAGTAATTTGGGAGAGAAAATGGAAATTATGAGAGGGAGAGAGGTATAGAAATTAGAACAAAGTAGTAAGGTGAGAATTAGGTCTTTAACATTACATATTTCCTTCAAGATAACATAATTCTTTAGATACAAGTATCATTGCATATATGAGACGTTGAATATTTAGATTAATGTGAAGAGATGAATGAGCTGTGCTTGAGGGTACGTCAAAGAATTGCTTTATACCATAATGCATCGATGATCTTTGAGCCATAGGTTCCAATTTTTTTTTAAATCCATCAAGCAAGTTGTGTATCCGAGCAAAGGTTCTTTCAAAGGCCATGTTTGTGTTCATTAAGTCAACTACTGATTGAGTAGATGATTTCTTTTTTTTCTGTCTGCTGAGACTATAGCATTGCAGTCGGAAAGTGCTGTACACAATGCCATGGTCGCGATGCTTACGGTGCTGCAAAAATGATACAATGTAGCATTTGGAAGGTGGCACCCCCAGCCAAACGTGACCACTGAGGTGGATTGGGCTGCACTAAATACTTGTCAACGTCTCCTTGGAAGGAAAAATAGACAATTAGGAAGTACTAGTATCATCTCCTAAACGTACAGATGCCTCTGCTCTACCCCAGAATGGTAATCCACCACAGATCACTTTCCAAAGAGGGGGTGGAAACTGCCTTTCATGTGAGAGTGACCTTAGACTCCTTGGTGCCCAACCTCCAGCCCAAGGGCCACATGCGGCCCTTTGGCTTATGATGTGCGGCCCTCAAACCTCAGCAGTCTGTAGTGGGAACATTGATTAACCTCCCTGGCGGTATGATTATTTCAGATTTTTGGTGCTGAAAGCAGTACCATTATTTTGCATGGAAATATGTATTTTTTATATTGTAGGCCTGTAATTTTTAGGAATAACTCACTGAAATCTGTCCGAACAAGAGTCTAGTAAACATTCCAGGTAGGATAAAACTTGAAACACAAAATCATAAATGATAATTTATTAAATAATCATAAGAAATAATAATATAATAAATTTAATTCAATAATATTATCAAACCAAAAACACTGAAATTTGAAATATAGTGCCAAGTTCGCACATCGCTGAGCAAAGCCGCAAAATCGTTTTCAGTGTCTGATGACGAATTTCCCCCACGAATCATTATCACTCAATTCTGCAAGTGATTCTGATTTACTATCGCTGTTCTCTAGCTGGTCTAAAACCGCTTTTGACCTAAAGGGACACTTTTTGGATGCCATGGACTTTTCTAGGTTTCCAGGCAGAAAGAACAGTCAAAATGCAGGCAGGGAACAAGACAAAGCAGTAGGGACAAAATGTATGTGAAATGGTTTGAAACAGCAATGCTTTAATATGTAATATTAATTTACCAAAAAATGACTTTTTTTAAATTTGCCGCCGGTTACGGCCCGACGTCACAGGGACCGGAACACGGAAGCCAGATGCCGGCATCGGCCGGAGGAGATGACCGGGGACACTGCAGGGGACACATCGCGGGAGCGAAGGACAGGGTAAGCACTGCAGGGACTTCCTGAGCAACGCCGCATGGTAAGCCCGAGTGTAGCTCAGGGTTACCGCTCTTGGTACTGAAATTTTACCCCAAGCTACACTCGGGAATACCGCCAGGGAGGTTAAGGTAATAGCATTGGTCTCTACTAGCCTCATGTAGCATGTCCACACTCTGACCCTCATTTCCTTTATTAGGTGTGCAGTGTATGACTGTCCTCTCAAGCAATAAATATATTGAACATTAGGTGGGGCCCTTTGGTGATGTCAGGGGCCACATTTGAGGCACCTTTTAACTCATAAGTTGACAACCACTGCCATTGACAGTTGTCACCGGAACTATTGCATTTTCTATTCCTGTTCTGGAACTCAAAATTTGGGAACCTCTTTCTTTCTCGATGATTATGTGCACCAGGACCAATGGAGAGGGTGAACCTCTCTAAGGGCTCATATACACTTGCTTCAAAATGTGGCATTTCACCCCCTTCCTGCCCAGGCCAATTTTCAGCTTTCAGTACTGTCGCACTTTGAATACTATTGCACGGTCATTCAACACTGTACCCAAACAAAATTTTTATCATTTCTTTGAGACATATAGAGCTTTCTTTTAGTAGTATTTAATCACCACTGGGTTTTTTATTTTTTGCTAAACAAATGAAAAAAGACCAAAACTTTCGGAAACAAAGGTTTTTCTTAGTTTCTGTTATAAATTTTTTTAAATAAGTAATTTGTCTCCGTCACTGATGAGGCTGCATTGATAGGCGGCACTGATGGGCATTGATGGGCACTAATAGACAGCACTGATAGGTGGGCACTGACAGGCATCACTGATAGGTGGCACTGATTGGTATTAATAGACTGCACTGATGAGGATGCACTGATGGACATTGACAGGCATCACCGATGGACACTGAAAGGCAGCATTGATGGACACTGAAAGGCAGCATTGATAGGGCTGCGCTGATTATCAGTGTACATGTCCCATCTGAGGATTGCCGCTTATTGGCTCTCCTCTCCTCAAGCACTGTCAGCTGATCACATGGCCTACGTCATCAGCTCTTTACTGCGATTGGTGATCTGCTGTGTCCGAGGGACACAACGCACTACCGATCGCCGTGCTGCAGCCACTCTGGGCACGCATGCTTGGCTAGAGCGGGAGGACATAATATGACATCCTCCCAAACGAGAGCTCCCGCCCATCCATCATTTCCCAATAGGACAGGCGGGAGAAAGTTAAAGCACTCTGAATGCCAAACAAAGCACCTATCACTAAATGAAATGGTAAGCTTACAGTTCTGTTCACACATTGCCTTTGCTTTGCTTCAAAAGTTATACCCCATGTTGCTTTTGTGGTGCTTCAAAGTGTGTTCTAAACCTCCATAGAAGTCTCACTCACAGCACTTGCAGCTTTCGAGAGAATTTTATTCAGCTTTAGCTTTGCTTTGTTTTTTGGTATTGCAGATATGAAATATCCCAGGATGCACTGGTAAACCAACAATCAAGCTGGAAAGACGTCATCAACAGTTACTTCCGGTTCATGTGTATTCTGGGAAAGGTTCAGACATCACATTTGGTGTGTAGCGTGGAGCAGCAGGAAGGTGAGCAGGGTCTAGGCTAGAGCAGAGCAACTCAGATGGCACAGATGGCGTGCAACATGGCAACGCTATAGCAGAAGGTGAGCTGGGACCAGAGAGAGAGGATAGAGGGGCAGAGGATCAGAGAGCTGGTGGACTAGTGCAGGAGAAATTATCAATGTGACATGGTGCACAGCATGGGAGCAATATAGCAGGAGTGAGTTTGGACAGTAGAGAGAGGAGGAGGTTACTACTGAGTGGGGCATCAGCAATGCTGGGGGGGGGGGGGTAATACTGAGCAAGGGATCTACTGAATGAGGGTATTAACAGGCTGGGGATTTACTGAACAAGGGTACCAATGAGCCAGGGGTCTGCTGAACAGGGGTACTAATGAGCTGGAGATCTGCTGAGTGAGGGTACCACTGAGCTGGGGTTCTACTGAGCCCCTTTAAAACAAATAGAAACTCCATACACACAGGGCATTTGCCCAAGCTTCATTAAAGGTTTGAAAAACCACCCCCGAAGCATCAATAACACATCAAGAAAGCATGTTGAAGCAGTAGGTGCTTTAAGGTGTGTTAAAGGATAAGTTCACCTTTGGGAACAAGTTACATGTGCCACCTGCTTTTAGGGCAGAACATGTAACATGTTCCCAATGCTGCAGCCACCGCTCAATCCCCCCTTCCTGTGACAGCAGTACGGGGAGAAGTTCCCCATACAATCTGTCATTTTTCAATAGTGAGGCTGTGCAGGGCTTTGCCTACACGGCCATGCCATTCATTCACGACCTTAGCGGTTGTCACCTTGTAGTTCTCAATGAACTCCTACGGCGCTGTTGAGCAACGTTTTAGTTAATTGATTCTTCCTGTCAGTATATCTGCTTGCACGTACATCCCATACAAGCTGGCAGATATACTGACAGATCTGAAGGAAACCTGCATGGGTTATCAGACTCCTACAACCAGAAATAATAAATACATGTTTGTTTACCTGCAACAAAATGTCCATTTATTATTCTTGGTCAAAAGGTGAACTTATCCTTTAAAGTCAATGCAAGGCAAATGAGCCCTATAGGTGGCCATACACACTTCAGTAAATTATAAATTTATTTTCCAGTCAATCTCCCTCGATAGGAATAAGTGATCAATGGTTGACATCCTATTTGACTGATATGATTCACATAGGGAAGTGGATTTTGAGTTATAGTCGGAGGATACAATTATAAGTTGTCAGTGGAATCTCTATTTTCACCATGGAATCTCATAATCTGATCAATTGAAAATACAATCAAATTCATGAACAAAATATATCAGCGCTGCCAACTGTAACTATCAATGATTTTACGCTAATTTGATCATTTTGATATTTGCAATGAGATAATAAAGTTGAAGTGTTTATGGCTACCATAGGATTGTAGACCCCATTAACACCCATCATATAATGAACACATACATAAATAATAAAATAAAAACTTGTTAAACGTTGTGGGAAACTTTAAGTTGCAGACCCTTTATTGGGTTTAAATCAATTTTAATACTGAAATAAAGTTTAACCACCTCCCGTTTGGCCCATGTATATAAACGGCCGGACGGTGGCAGTGCAGGGTCGGGTGGCCGTTTATAAAACGGCCTCCCTGCACCCTGCTTGTGCGCACTCCCTGGGAGCGTGCAGCACCGCAATCTGGTGCCCGCTGTGTCCTCCGGACACAGTGGAAACGCCGATCGTCAGACGGGACCTCTGTGCAAGGTCCCGATCATGTGATCACTGATTGGCCAATGAGTGATCACATGCAGAATAATAAGCAAGATGCCATTTCTGACATCATTGCTTACTACGTGTGAAATCTGTGAATGATCACAGAGGTCACATGGTACAAGGCTATTCACAACAGCCTTGTACCATGTGACAAGCTGTGACCAATCACAGCTCACACAGTAGTTCTCAATGGCTGCAAGAATGCAGCTAGAGAGAAGGAGAAATTATTGCTTTTACAGCCTTTATGGGTGTAAAAGCAATCAGTGTAAAAAAAAAAAATCTGCATCACCCCCAAGTAGTACAGTGTCACCATGGTGACACTACTGCTAGGGTGACAGTATGTAAAAAAAAAAACCCATAAATAATATAAAAATATGAAAAAAATGTAAAACAAATGTTTAAAAATTATAATTTTTGGTTATAAACTAATTTGGGGTTTTTTTTTTTACTAAAAAGATAACGGAATAAATTTTGGCCAAGATTTATGATGAAATACTATTTATTTGCAAAATTTTATAAGAAAAATAAAGCTTTATCTGTCTCAAAAAAATGCTAAAAAATTAATATGGGTACAGTGTTGCATGACCGCGCAATTGTCATTCAAAGTGTGATAGCACTGAAAGCTGAAAATTGGCCTGGACAGAAAGGGGGTAAAAGTGTCCGGACTAGAAGTGGTTAGAGCAACTCTTAAGGTTAATTTTTTTTGTAAGAAAACAAATATGTCTATACTTACCTGCTTTGTGCAGTGACACTGATTGTACACATGTGGCTTCATGGAAGTGGGTCTTAATCAATGGGGCATCATGTATGCATACTTGTGTTTGTGCTGGAAACATGGTGCGTAGCGCATTCCCAGCACAGAGACTGGGCTCTCACCGGGAGTGCCAGATCCCGTACATTCAGCAATCAGGAACCAGGAGGCCCAGCTCCCGATGACGTGATCGCTGTGATAGCCTTTGATTGGCTATTTTACGTATCACAATAATCAATAACTATATAGCAGGGATGTCAAACTCAATTTCATCGCAGGCCACATCAGCATTATGGTTGCCCTCAAAAGGACTATATAAATGCATCTATTATATTAAAGAATTGCCTCTACATTCGATCAATACTGGTTTTATTAATAAGCTAAGATGTAAGATGTGAAGGGCAGGTGCAGACCCGCATGGAGCCCACTCAAACACCTGTAGCAGATGATGCAAGTCTGAAAAGGAGGGTCACACAACACTAGTATCCTCAAGAAGCTTTATTGGAGACTACTAATACAGAACATGGTTCTGCCATGGTGTTCTGTCTGAGCACTCTCCGCTCTGCCATCACAGTGCACATCACCTTGTGCTGCTGCAGAGCTGGGAAGCAGAAAGTGCAGGGTCTGGAGGAGGACCAGAGAAGTACTGGAGTCTGCTGAATGCTGAGAGCAGGGAAGGTGGAGACAAGGAGGTGCTGCAACTCCATAGAGAAGAGCAGGATCTGTAGGAGGAGTTCTGTCCTTTCTGCTGCAGACTGCTGAGACAAGGGGGAAGCAGAGATGAGCCTCTCCGCGACTGCACAGCAAAGCGCATGATCTTAATGAGGAGTTCTGCCCTCCTTTCTGCTTCTGACATCTGAGACAAGGTAGGGGCAGGCTACATGAAACAGCCTGGTGGACTGGATTTAAACCGTGACCCTTGTGTTTGACACATGTGCTAGGGTGTCTGTAAAAATGAATGTCACTGCAACTTACCACATTACCATACCATTTATGCTGATGACGTG